GTACGTATCTTGAACGCTGAAAGCTCCAAGCCAAGGCAAAACAAACAGAAAATTAAAAAAAAAATTCAAGATATGTTACTAAACATTTTTCCCTTAGCCTTGGCTTGGAGCTTTCAGCGTTCAAGATACGTACATTCAAGATACGTACGAGGTGATACGACACCTGCATCAGCAGGAAAACGGTTGGTTTTGCCTTCAACTTTTACCGGTGGACCAAGATATATGGTTCAAAATTATCAAGATGCAATGGCAATATGTAGATTCATGGGTCCTCCTGATCTTTTCATTACTTTCACATGCAATTCTAATTGGCCAGAAATCAGCAAGGGCATAAGTTTGATACCTGATCAAAAAGTTGTGGATCGACCTGATATCGTTGCACGTGTTTTTCACATAAAATTAGATCAATTTATGAATGATTTAACACATGGACAGCATTTTGGCAAGGTGATGGCAGGTATTTGATCTAACAAAATATTTTATTTATTTTTTCAAAAATATTTAATTTATATCAAATTCTCATTTCATTTCATATACTTATACTTTGTACAGCATTATATACAATTGAGTTTCAAAAGAGAGGGTTGCCCCATGCGCATATTCTGTTATTCTTACATCCAGATGATAAGTGCACTACACCAAGAGATGTTGATCGAATCATTTCAGCCGAACTGCCAGATAAGAATACTGATCCAATAGCTTATGAAGCAGTTTTACAATTTATGACACACGGACCATGTGGACCAGCTAATACAAGGTCACCGTGTATGGAAAATGGAAAGTGCAGTAAACATTATCCCAAATATTTTCAGACCGAAACAATAATTGATGAAAAAGGTTTTCCAGTGTATAGGAGAAGGGACAATGGACGAGAAGGTATTAAAGCTGGTGTGAAAATTGATAATCGATGGATCGTTCCTCATAATGTTGATTTGGTTGTCAAATATTGGGGACATGTTTGTGTTGAATTGTGCAATCAAAGCAGGTCTATAAAATATTTATTCAAATATGTGAATAAAGGATATGATAGAGCCACTTTTGTCATTGAGGAAAATGATGCAACTGATGGACAGAGTGGAACACGAGTTGTTCGTGAAGTGGATGAGATAAAAAAATATCTAGATTGCCGATATATATCAGCATCAGAGGCTTGCTGGAGAATATTTGATTTTGACATCCAATATCGGAGTATTGCCGTTCAAAGATTAAATTTTCATCTTCCAAATGAACAGCCAGTGCTATTTGGTGATAATGATCCTTTGGATGAAGTATTAAACAGAGCAGAAGAACATAGTACAATGTTCATTGAATGGATGAAAACGAATTCCATAGATACATCTGCTCAACAGTTGACTTATGCAGATTTTCCTACACAATGGACATGGAAAAAGAAGCTGAGAAAATGGGTTAAACGGAAGTCTGGTCGATCAATAGGTAGAATTTTTTATGCTCATCCTTCAACTGGAGAAAGATTCTACTTACGCATGTTATTGAACATTGTCAAAGGTCCAAGATCATTTGAGGAGATTAGGACAATTAACGGAGTCGTGCATCCAACGTTTAAAGCGGCATGTCAAGCGTTGGGATTATTGGGTGGTGATGAAGAATGGCATAATGCTATAAGAGAAGCAGCAAATTGGCAAACAGGTCAGCAATTACGTGAATTATTTGTGACCATGTTATTATTTTGTGAGGTATCTAATCCATTAGATTTATGGGAGAAAAATTGGGAATTTCTTTCTGATGACATATCCTATCGACAACGTCGTATACTCGGAGATAATTTTATATCTTTCAGTGATTCCCAAATAAAGAATTATGCACTTTATGAAATTGAAAAAATTCTCAATCGAAATAGTAGAAGTTTGAAAGAATTTCCTGGAATCCCATTTCCTGATATGCTATTGGATAATGATAATCGAAATCGGTTTATTATTGAGGAATTGAATTATAATAGGGAAATTCTTGCACAAGAACACTTTCAACTACGAAGTGGGTTGAATGAGCAACAGCTACAAGTGTATAATGCAGTCATTCATGCTGTTGATTATGGTCTCGGTGGTCTCTTTTTTGTTTATGGTAGTGGAGGAACAGGAAAGACTTATTTGTGGAGAACTATAATTGCTCGATTACGTTCACAAGGCAAAATAGTTTTGGTGGTAGCATCTTCTGGTATAGCTTCTCTATTGCTGCCTGGTGGAAGGACAGCTCATTCGAGATTTAAAATTCCTATAATTATAGACGGTGATTCTACTTGCGCAATATCACAGGGATCACAATTGGCTGAGTTAATTTGTAAGGCATCATTGATTATTTGGGATGAAGCTGTAATGTTACATCGAAATATTTTTGAAGCGGTTGATAGAACATTTAGGGATATCTTACGCTTTCATGATCCTGACTCTGCGCACAAAGTTTTTGGTGGCAAAACTATGTTACTTGGTGGTGATTTCAGGCAAATTCTTCCTGTTGTACCCAAAGGGGGTAGAACTGAAATTGTTGCTTCATCAATTAATCGATCTTCTTTGCTTTGGGGTCATTGTCATTTATATCTATTATCTTTGAATATGCGTATACGAGGTAATGACATGCATTCAGATTCTGTTGAAAGTTTAGAAGAATTCAGCAAATGGATTTTAGATTTGGGTGAAGGAAAATTACCAGCTATTTCCTTTGATGATGAAGACGAATCTACTTGGATAGAGATTCCTGATGATCTACTCATTCCTCAGGATACTGACTGCATACACCGCATTATTGATAGTACGTATCCTGATCTATTGGCTAATTATAATAATGCTTCATATCTTCGCAATAGAGCTATTCTTGCCCCGACCAATGATGTTGTTGATGAAGTAAATTCTGTTATTCTATCATCCATTCCTGGCCATTCCAGGATATACTTAAGTGCTGATAGAATCTGTCCCACCTCTGATTGCGGACTTGAGCAAGCTTCTTTATACCCGGTTGAGTTTTTGAATACACTTAAATTCTCTGGAATTCCAAATCATTCAATTGAGTTAAAGGTTGGAATTCCAATTATTCTGCTACGCAATATGAATCAGAGTCGGGGTCTATGCAATGGTACACGGTTGATAATTACAAATCTGGGAGATAACATCATAGAAGCTGAAATGATTACAGGGTCAAGTATAGGGACAAGATTTTTCATTCACAGGATTGACATGACTCCTACGGATTCAAAATGGCCTTTTGTGATGATTCGACGTCAGTTTCCTATTAAGGTTTGTTTTGCTATGACAATAAATAAGAGTCAAGGCCAAACTTTTGATAACGTTGGAGTGTACTTGACAAAACCTGTATTTAGTCACGGCCAATTATACGTTGCTGCTTCTCGAGTAACCTCCCGTCAAGGATTGAAGTTTTTGATCAAGGATGATCGAAATCCGGAAAATCGTCGTACAAGAAATATTGTTTATCGAGACATATATGATAATTTACACATTGGTATAGGTTAAATTCTAAAGCTTGATTTATAATTCATGCGTATGCAATTTTGTTTGTTTTTATTTATGCGCTTATTAATCATATATTCAAGTATTTAGTTTAGATACATATATGCAATTATTTTATAAGTTGGTGAATTTTGGTAGCAGACACAAGTTCGTTACAATGAATTCAAGCCACAAGCTCTTGAATCAGTTGACAGTGGGATTTGATTCCAAGAAAATCAAGGTTAGAGTGACGCGCATGTGGGATGCCATTAACACAAATACTGGTGATGTGTTTGCTCTTGAAATGGTACTGCTCGATGAAAATGTAAGTACCATCATTCATCCATCTATGACTGATTTCAGTTAAATTTGTTTCTTTCATGACAATTTTTTCCTAATCTATGATGTCTGAATTGTTTTAGGATAATCATATGGTAGCTATTGTACCAAAAAATTTGGTACAAAGGTTTCGACCACAACTACTTGAGGGAGATGTCTATATTTTGGAGAAATTTAGAGTGACACCAAGAAAACAATCTTGGAATGTTGTGCACAATGAGCATAATATTTATTTCACTTATACAACTCTGGTGAAAAAGCTTGATGGTCGAATGAGTTCAATAAAATTTCACAAATTTGAATTCATCGACTTCAATGACCTCTCTTCACGATGTCAAGTTTTTACATTCTTATCAGGTATGACGTAATAAGTTAATAGGGTAAATACTACTTTTAGTTTTATTTATTTGAAAGTAGTGATTCCTAGATAACTATGTGTTATACTTATTTATTTGTGTGTAATATAGATGTGGTGGGAAGACTTTCTAAAGTGGGACCAATTTATGAAGTTTCGAAGAGTAATGGAACTGTAAAAAAACGAGATATTGCAATTACTAATAAAAGGTACTTGCTGCTTTTTTTTTTTTAAATTTAGTCTGCTAAATAAATTAGTTATAATATGAAGATCAGCTCATATTCTTATTTGAACAATTATTTTTGAGTAATTTCTATTCAAGTATTAATTTTGAGTGCTTTATATTGAAGTGGTGAAAGCATTAATGTCACATTATGGGGAACAACATCGAATCAATTTGATGATGAGACTATTTTGGTGTCTGATCAACCATTAGTGTTTGTGATCTCTTCAGTGACAGTTAAACAATTCAGAGGTAATGATATAAACATCAGTGAAACTCTCATAGTAAACATATTGTTATTTCTTTTCATTAGCATTCTTAATGGACCTCACGATAAATTGTTACTCAGGCTCATACTATCTGTCATCAACAACTGCCACACGAGTATATATGAATCTAAATATTTCTGAAGTTGCAGATTATTTGAATTGGTAAAGCTATATCTTTATTAAATGTTTGTTTAATATTTTCATATATATTGTATATAAGTAATTAAGATAAAATTGTTATTAGCATTGATAGCACTGCTCCTCAAACTATTGAGGTTTTACATCCTCCAAAGACGCGAGAAGCTATACAGCAACTAATGTTCAAGAATCGAAAATTATTATCAGAGATATATCAGATAATGGCCGGTGTTCAAACAGAGGTATAATTAAAGTTACAAGTTACAATTATAGCACATTAGTTTTCACAATTAAAAATATTTATTATTTAAATTGACTGCTTAGATCTTTTCATTTCTCTAGGAATTGGTTTACACTTCCAAAGTGACAATTCTGAAAGTTGATTTCAATAGTCAACTGTACTACAAAGCATGTCCGAAATGTCAGAGAAAAGTGACATTACAAGGATCTAATTTTGTGTGCAATGCTTGCAATCAAAATGTGGAGTATCCTAAATTGAGGTATGTCGTAGGTGTTAACCTTTTTATCATTTTAATTGCTACAATATCTACATAAATATAACTTTTAGAATATGTGTATTTATACAGGTATATGTTAAAAGTCTTGGCAAGTGATGCAACCGGTAGTGCTTGGTTTGTTATATTTGATCAAGAGGCTGAAAGAATAATAGAACACAAACTTTCTTTTGTTCTTGAAGAATTTAATAAGGTAAACTTATATCTAATTTTTGAGAAGTTTTTAATAATAGTAGACAATCCGACACTTATCTTAGCCGTTGAATATTCTAAAAAAAAAATCTATTATGCATTTCATTTTCAGGAAGGATTTAGCAATGAAATCGTGTCATCAATTATAAATAAGATCACATGGAAACCTTTTGTGTTCCAAATCAAGTTGAACAATTACAATCTGGAACAAGGTAGTAATAGATTTACAGTGACTAGATGGTTCCACTGTGATTTCGAGAGGGAAACGAATTTCATGCTTTCACAGGTAATGTGCAATAAGTTTCTCTTATATTTCACATATTATATCTCACATAATATTTTGCCTTTAATTTTGATAAATCATTATCAGATTGGTGGAACCAACAACCAATACCAACATGAAACATCTTCTTCCCAGATCCCAATTAGTACACCGGATGATTCTAATCAACAGCATTTCAATACACTTCATATGAATCATTCATCAGAGGGTTCAACAAAAATCACAGAAGAAGGGAATCCTCATAAAAAGATTTGCATGAGAAGGTAGATTTAATATACTATTTTACTTTCTTAAATTATAATCTTTACGTATTGTTATACATAACCTTGAATGCGATAAATCATTTATTTTTTTATACTTAGTTATCCTGTTTTCCTATCATGCAGTGATAATGAAAAACCAATAAATGCTGATTTGCATGGACAAATCAAGGAGAATGTTCAAACAGAAGAAAATTCAAAACAAGTTCCTGAAGAATAGAATATTATTTAATACTATTTACTGCACTTTTTTATTTATTTTCAAGTTTTTGAAAGTTATGGTATTGTTGAATGTAATTTTTTTCATTTTTGAATCATTATTCACTGAATTAGATGTTTAAATTTATATTATAAGAATACTTTATATTACAATGCGCACATAGTAATATACTTAAGACAAGTTATAATAGATTATACATTAAATTTGTATTTTATATCGATATTTTTATAAAATTAACTAAATATTTATTAATTTTTTGACGATTCCCGTTCAACGAACGGGTACAAAACTAGTTTGGTATTAAAGCAAAGAGAAGTTCGTTTTTCCGGTACATAAGAAATGAGAAGGTAGAGACATGAATAGTTATACGAATTTGATATATTATCATGTATCTTGATCCAATATTGAGGAAATAGCTTCCTTCTTGTGGTTTGTAGACTTACTTTTTATTATTACTCTATTAAAAATCATCTTAAGATCATAAAAAAACTTCTTCATATAGAAATTTGGTTTAAAATAATTTACATTGATTTCGGATTAACTATAAAGACCAAAATATTAAGCGATATAGTCACAAAAAATTAACATGCATTTTTTAATTTTCAAATTTAGACTCGTAAAGTAAAATTGCCATATTTTTAAGTTCACCCCCTCTTTTTAAAAATCCCTGCCCCCCCATGCTAAATCTATTAACTGTATGACCAACTAATCCGTTCAATTGTTTTGTGGTTTATGTTAAAACCTTTTACAATGCTAGTGAACAATTAACCTGAAGTACACTAATGGTGAATTTTAAATTAGTTAATGGGTGGTTCCACTGTTATCTAATCAGCAAAAGTTTATATTGATAGCAATTTATTTGAATAAATTTCATATACACTTTCAATGTATACACTATCATGGTTAGATAGATGACACATGAGTAACGTTTGAATTTCAAATTCAAATTTTATACATGTGTCATATATCTAATGGTGATAGTGTACATAAGATCAATCCATTTATAATACGCAGTTTATTGGGTGCATGATAATGTTAGAATTTCATAATGACTACATTATTTTATTTGGTATGTGTATCGTGCCGTCAGACCACAAATAGAAAAAGCCATGTAGAAATCAAGTGCATATGCATTTGGATACTTCTTCGTATTTATCTCTTCATTTGCTCACCCCTTCTTTCCCTCTTCTTTCAAAAATTTCTTCAGCTAACGAACTCCACCTCTCATTCTCCAGTTCCCCTGGTCTTTCTCCCAATTGTGTTTTGTCTTTGCTTTTGAAATAAATTTTTCTCTTCTGGGATTTTCCTAGTAAGAGTTTATTCTCGTCTAGCATTTTCTTGGTAAAAATTTCTTTGTTTCTTAATGAGAGTTTTTTATGGTTATTATTTTCTTTATTTTCTATGTTCTTGTTAGATGTGGGGTCTTTTAAATCAATTTGGTACAATCTGTTTGGAAATAGAGTTTAAAAGTAAAAAAATCTAAACTTTACTGTAATTTACTATAGAAATTGTAGAAAAAGATTTTAAGATGTACAAATTTTTTTTCTTTTCCTTTTCTTTTTCCTTTTCCGGAAGAGATGGCCGGCGTTGGAAGAGGTGTCCGGCGCCGGAGGTGGTGGTGGGTTGATGTGGGGCAGGAAGAAGAGGAAAGAAAAGAAGTGAAATTTATTTGTATTTTATGGTATTTTTGAAGTGTGTATATTAAAAACTTTGAGGAGTTTTTTGGAGTTATTGTAGGTAAGGTTGTTAAAAATTTTATAGGAGAATAACTTGGCCTTTAAACTAAAACTTGTTAAATCAATTGTTTCAGAGTTTGAAACTAAAATTTATTTAATCTGTCCGTGGAAAACATGCACAAATCATGCTTTGGAGGTACAGAGAATCTGTGTGTGTAAGAAAATTTTGGAGCTGTAGAGTATTATTTCTTATTGGTTTCTAAGACGTCAAGAAAATCCCTTTCATCTGTTGTTTTTTTTTTTTTTGGCATGTTTTTCACGTATTTGTTACCATTGATTCGGCTTTCTCTAATTGATTGAAATTCTCTTCTTTTTTATATACATACAAAAAATCTTTTCACTTGGTTGTGTGTTGATTTTGTGTAAATCGTTTTTAAGCTGTAGTTGTCTTCATTGTGCATGTGATTTGTTTCGTACAAGAAGGTCCATTTTGTGTTATGGTCGGCTCTAAAGTTTTGTCTTCTTCACATATATTACGCCTAAATAAACATCTGTTTGGTTTTTCTTCTTTCGGCTGAATCACCTAAATAATGATCTGATTCTTTACAATTACAAAGGTAGATTTAGATTTGACTTTCGAGTACGGGAAAAGCTACGTGAAGAAAAGACGGGGACGCCACAAGTAGGGCGGCGTACTTGGAAATGGGGGAAAAGATATTTCGATTTTCAAGATTTGGTTAAAATTCATTTTCCTCAGTTGAATTTTGTGTCAATTTCAAATTAATCCTTTAATCTTTTAGAAGCATCCACTTGGACCCTTAAAACTTTTTTTCCCCAAATTATATAGGAACCTTTTTTATTCTTGTTTTTTAAGCCATTCCAATGCAAATTTAAATTCCTAATCTTCTCTAAAAACATATTACGTTCAACAGTGTCCAATTCTTTGACTCCAATTTTAATAATGGTCGGATTATAATCACCTCCTCGGATAGAAAGCGGTAAAAAGTTTGACTTGTCTTGGCATTTGGCCATCCTCACTTTTGGTCTATTATCTTTGTCTTTCATTTTCTCCTATGTTAATGTAGATCAATTGCATATAAGATAATTCCATGTTGCATATATGAACTTTATATAAATTTCTAGATTGAATCCTAAATTTAAAATTGGGCACTTTTTGCAAAAAAGGAAAAAAAAAGTTGGTTAGAAACAACACCTTCAAGTTTATACTTTCAACTATAAATTCTATGTGATACATTGCATTTCAACCTTCGGCTTTGAAAAATAAAGTGTTTTTTCTGCCCACTCTAGTCCACCATTAACAGATTTCAATGCATGAGCATTGAAAATAAAAAACTTCGTTAGTGTATTTTAGTGGCGTCTAATCTTAAAGTCTTATAATAGAAATTATTGTCGTAATACTTTAAGACATTAGAAATTCTATGTGATACATTGCATTATGCTTTTTGGAATCTTTTTGGGCTGAACTATATAGCCACATTAAGAATTTGATAATCCAATCATTCCCACTAGACAAAGCAGGTGCATGGTTTGCAGTTTGTTGGTTTGCAGGGAAATGTCAATCTGTAAATAATTTTCAACAGTACAATGTCATTTGTTAAAAGAGAAAAATGCAATTTATGAACCAATCAGAAGTTTAAGGGTGGTGCATAACGAAACTAATAGAAAATGTGATTCTCAGAGCTGCTTTTGGTTAATGTTTCTAGACGCTTGTTAGCTACTGGATCAAAATGGGTGGATAACACTGTTAAAAAAAATGCGTAGATAGGTTGTTAAAAAAAAAAAAAAAAAGGCTACATTTGGTATCGAGTATTAGTTCTTTCTTATGGAATTAGTTCGTGAAACTACTCTGTTTAAATCTTTTTCACTTCCGCGTCTGAGGCAGCTATTTATAAGCTTGCTATTTGTCTGAGGCAGCTATTCTGTTTGGATACTAATGGAATTACTTCTGTTGATTTTGCTGTTTCTTGTAATAACTTTATCCAAGTTTCAATAACACTTCAATTGAACAAAAATTAAAATACTTATAGAGAAATTTTAACTGGCAATATGTATGATATGGACCTCTAAACAACAAATGGTTGGCTGGTTTGCTGAAGAATCTGGATAAGTCATTACAAGAAGGGTCCAGCTTTTTTCCTTTTCGAAGAATGGTCAAGTTGATTTAGACGGGACCTTGGCTACCTCGTAATGGTGAAAACGAATGTAATTTGAACCTAGACAATTGACTTGGAATACAAATTCTGGATTCCCCCCAACTTCTTGGACATTGAAGCACGGCCAACCAAATGGGTCTAACTTTCTTGGTTTTTTTTTTTTTTTGGGGTCTTATTCGTAAGAACTAATCAAGAGATACAAGTTAAATGGTTGAAGATCATTTTCTAAAGGCAAAGAACAATGCTTGTCATCATTATTAGAAAGAAATTTTGTAACAGCAAATTGAAAATGTCATTAGGTCTAATATAGCGGGTCTACTTATTTTTCTCTTTCTAATAAAATAAAAATATATTTTTATTTCATCAGATCTATATTAATGACAGAGAGTACATTGACACATGCCAGGAAATGAACAAATTTGAAAAAAATCAATATATCTAATACATTTAAAAAATAATAGAGATTACACTTTGAAGTTCCAACAGATTTCAAACTCAAATAAATCACCAGTAAACCAATGAACATTTGTGTATGTTAACACTGTCTAATATGTTGTTCAACTAGTTCAAGCTCAAATTCTAGGATGAATTTTGATGGGAGGGCCTAAAAATCCTAAATTTGGCATACAAAATTTGAAAAAAACTCTCGGATCTAATAAAAAAAAATTAAGGCCTTGCTTCCCAAATTGGCAACCACAATAACAGTAGAACAAATTGATTTGAGTTCCTCCATTGACTCCATGCTTAAGGCTATCTTTTTGTGGAATAAGCATCACATCTATATGTCATGGTGATTCTATCTATGAAGCTCATAAAATTTAGGTAAAGTGAGCATCCTGGTCTTTGAACTTTAAACGAAAGTGTATTCCTTGGGTTATCAAAATTTTCCATTTAAGTTTAAATTAGTTTCAAATGAGTGCGCCACCAAAGTCCACTGAGTTTCTCCGTTGACACCACGAATTGCGGGCGCGTGCAAGGAAATAAGAAAGGTTAAATACGTTCGTTGAAGGATATATAGACAAGTGGAAAATTTTCAATTTTCAGATTTGGTTAAATTTATTTTGCTCGATCTACTTTCGTGTCATTTTCAAGTTAATCCCATAGTATTTTAGATGTATCCATTTGGATCCACAAAACTTTTGTTTTTCCA